GTTACCTAAGATCTGAAAATGGCAGATTTTTTTTGTTTGTGTGTTTTTACGTTGGAGGCGGCATACACATCAGCTCCGCCCACTTCCATCTCTTTGCTGAATCAGCGTGTTTCTGATTTTGGATGCTAACCCCTCCACGTTTTGTTCCAGCTCTGCCGCTCTCAGTGCGACTCTCTCCGTGATCGCACCTCCTCTCTGGAGCAACGCTGTTCCTCGCTGACCTCTGACCTCTCCCAGCTCAGAGGCCTCCTCTCTCGAAGCCGCAAGGAGTCCTCGTCCTTCTTCTTAGCATGCGCCCTGCTGGGTGGAGCGCTGAGGCACGCTCACCACCGTCTGTGTGGGCTTTCTGAGCAGAAGAAATTCCTGTGCCGGCAGCTGGCAGAGCGGGAGCAGCTGGAGGAGGAGGTGAGGAGGCTGGTTGATGCTCTGGAAGGAGAGAAAGACCAAGAGAAGGAGGAAGAGAAGAAGAGAGAGAGGACGAGGAGGGCAACGAAGAGGTGGAGGAGGACTGTGTGTGCTGTGCTGGCAGTGAGGAGGTGGTGTTCGCTGGCCAGGAACACGACAGTGTTGCTTCGTCTGGAGAGAGGAGGCGGAGCTCCAGCTGTCTGCGTCTGTGGAGGGGCGGATACGGCGACACAGAAGGCTCGAGACACACCAGGTACACACACCTCCACAGACAAGAAAGGAAACACTTTCAGTGTGTTTGCAGCAGCTCAAGGAAACACCGTCTTCAGAAAGTAACACACTGATGTTAGAGATGGTGCTGAGGCACACACAGACTGTGCTGCACTGCTGTGTGTCACTGATGTTGTACAGCAGCTGAGAGAGCAGCGTAAATACTGTGTATCTGAGTGTCAGTGTAATGACAAGCTACCAGACTCACATAGATGCTGTGGAGCTGTGAAAAACAGTTCAGCCCATGATTCAGTCGCTTGTGGAACAATCTTTAGCAGCAATAAGTTGAAGTCATCACTTCCTGTATGACTATCGATCTCTCACATCTCTGTGGAGGAAATTTGTCCCACTCTGCTTCACAGCATTGCTTCAGATGATTGAGGTTTGTGCACAGATCTCTTAAAGTCCTTCCACAGCATTTCAGTCAAGGTGAAGTCTGGACTTGGTTAATTTGGTGGGATCGTTGTCCTGTCGTATGACCTGGTTTCAGCCAAGCTTTAGCTGTCGGATGCATCTCTTCACATTTGAATCTTAAATAACAAACAGACAGTTGGTGTGAGGTGTTTAGTTTTCTCCAAACATGGTGTTGTGCATTATGGACAAACATCTCTACTTTGCTCTCAGGTGCCCATCGGTCACATCGTTCCAGAAGTCTTACGGTTTCTTCAGATGCAATTAAACCATGCTACCTTTTT